ATTTCTCTTTTAACGATACTTCCTAAAATGACAATTATAATCCACACACACTCNGAACCATACCCACCTGCTTCAATCTGTCTAAGGCAAGCACATTAGCAATGGCCGCCATGCCAGTCTTGAACTTATCTACAGCGTTTTCGTCTTCTTCCAGCTCAACAAAAGAAGGGTTGGCAGGGATCTTGGGTGGAGGCTCCATTCCTTCACTTTTAGGAATACCAGTCACTACCTCAAACATGATACCACAAGTAGTTCTATAATCCTGAGAGAAGGGAGAGAGAGAGGGAGAGAGGGGAGAAGAGAAAAGCAATTACATATATGTGAACAATGTACTATACATGTACTAGTGTTGTTTTAGTTACAGTTATACAACTTTTAGTTGGTAATGGTAATTGAATATTAGTAGTGTCTTGTTACTGACTCTAGTAAAAGCTTTCATGATGGCCGCCCCGATTCCTATCCTCTTGTACACTCTGAGGCATATCCTTTTTCTTAGCATTATCTCTACTCCTGGAGGGTTCTTTAGTTTGATACCTACCCGCACGATGGCAAATACTCTATCATTAGCACCTGTGACTTTATTTAGACTGCTGGTATCGTGTACTGTGGAGTCCCAGGAAGCAACTGCTATCAACTGAGAGAGAGAAATTAATAACTTTACATGTACATGTAAATTGACATAAAATATTCTTAAATTAGAAAAAAATAAAAATTCTAATACAATGTACACTCACTACACTACTTCTGAAAGCCCAAAATTTATGCAAATATTCATAATTTTTGAAAATCCACAAAAATACAATGGATTGTTGGATGGATTTGCAAAAATTTGCGCCACCATTTTACATGCATGTATGTCAAACAGTACATGTACATGTAGTGGGTACCTGATGGTCCTCTTGTTTTATTATCGGTAGTTGGATCATGTTCTCCGGCTTCTCTCCAAAGAGCTCACCAGTTTGTACCAAACCAGTCACTGGCCTCTCCTCCTCATCATCGTCACCACTAGTTAATAAATAATAATTAATAACCATCAATTAATAATTATTAATTAACTAGTAATTAATAACTAGTAATTAACCAGTAAAATAACCAGCAATCAATTAACTATTACTATTATTATTACTACTACCTGTTAAGGTCTAAGAATACCACAGGTACTTTTGCTTCCATTCCTGGGACTAGTTGCCAGTTAGTTGGAGCTCCAGGAACACCAGAACCTGCTTTAGGCTGTACCACAGCCATTCTCTCCCACTAACAATAAAAAATAACAACAACAACAATAATATAAATAATAATAATAATAATAATAATAATAATAATAATAATAATAATAATGCTATTCCTACTTGTAGCATAGTCCATTGGTCGATGAGCTCGTTCTCTTTGACAGTGTCTGACTCATTCCTCGATCTCTTCTCCATGATCTTCCTCACCTCAGTGTCCAGGAACTCTCTCCTGTTACTCAGGGCATCGCTCCATTTCGTACGTAACCTAGCAACAAAACCACACCCATCAATAATTAACAAATAGTCAAAATTTAATTATTTACACAACAACTAAATAATCGTCCAATAATTCCAATATTGATCAATAACAATTAATTATTTAAGCCACGCCCATACTTAATTAACTAAACCACACCCACCTCTCCAGGTCTACTTCTTGATAAGAGTCTAAAGAGTCATCATATCTATTCCTTAGGTAGACGCTCCCGACTGATATACTGGAAATACTCTCACAGACGAGAGGCCCATTCCCTGAGCCTGGTATCTGTACTACACTAACACGCACACGTCTTGATTGACCCTGTGATATACAAGTACATTAATAATAATAATAATAATAATAATAATAATAATAATAATAATAATAATATGCAGTAACCAGTTGGTTCCTAATACCTGTCTTATTTGGAATATTCCTCCTGATTTGATGTCAGCCTTTGGTTGCAACTCAACGGCAACATACTCTCCCTGATCATTGAGTTCCATTATCTCCACCCATAGCTCCAGTCTCTTTATAACATCATTCCATCTCTCCGACAGTGAACGAGGTCTCTTGGAATCTTCTTCTGTAGAGAAATAGAGAGGGAGAGAGAGAGGAAACAATATGAAATATACATCAACAATTCGACATTAAAAATTATTTTCTAATTATCCCAAAACAGCAGACCTGCATCAGGTACAGAGTCAAATCCACTTCTCCTGTGACCCCACACTTCAACCGCTAGTGCTCCGTCATTAATGTACTCAAGGAAATCCTCCGTCACTTCAACATTGAACGTCTGGTGGTGCTGGAACTGATGCACGCCATCAGGAGGGTGGACGGAGTCAGCCCCACCCATTGAGGGGATTAGTGGCGGAATTATGAGTGCCTCTTCTTGCCCCCAGAACTTGTACTGACAGAATAGATTGTGAGAGTAAGCAGCTGGAAGACCACTCGCCTCTATCACTGATACTCTGACAGTAATATGAGTACCTAATTAAATAAATAATTAAATAATATATCAAAAATGTGATAAAATTGACATTATTTTCTCTTCTAGTCATTTTTGACAACTTTCAATGTGATATACCCTGTACTATATGGTGCAGAGTCTTTGGCTGATTTTTGAGCAACTTTTAAAATTTGCAAAAAAGCCAATTTTGATTGTAAATGTATCTGCTCAAAGCCTCAAACTTTCTACACAAAATACAATGTACATGTAATAATATTTTAATGTGTTAATCCATGATGAAATGGCAGACTCCAAGTACAAGTACATGTACATGTAGTACGTACCTGGTTTAAGATCCTCTACTTCCTCTGGTGCCTCCCACGTCACCATTGATGAACTGTTATCAACATCATCAACACTGTCACGTATCACTATAAGGAGAGAGTGGGTGGAAAAAGAGGCAGAGATAAGTAAACAATCATACAACACGTACTGGTACTAAACTTACAAGGCAAGCATTGGAGACCGAGTTTTAACCTGCCGCAAACCTAATTAAGAGAATGAAAAGAAAGGAATTATTTCAGTTAGAACAGTGACCATCAAATCTATACAAAAATTACTTGGATTCACTAGTAATAATGCATGTACATCATCAATAATAAATTATTATCATTTATTTATTATTATTCTTGCCTTTCCACTTGGTCCAATGATGGGAGCATCATAAACATGAGCTACCCCATGATACAAGCACTCCAGGAATATATTAGCCACACCCAGGAGGGCATGCTGCTCTAGATCAAAGAATGGATCAGGACCAATGCTGTCATCCTAAAAAACAACAACAACAACAATAAATAACAATAACAACAATAAATAAAAATAATAATATACAAATGTATGTACTATAAAAAGTATTTGCATCCCTATTATCGGTATTAATTAACCAATAGTCACACCCATCAGCACTAATAACTATTAATTAACTAATAGTCACACCCACCAGCACTAGTCCAAAGCTCCCTTCCTCAATGCGTTGGTACATGTCCCTCATTGTGAGGACTTTCTCCGCTAGTGTATTGAGAGACCAGACGGAATCGGTCCCTCTCTGTCTGTGGATAACACGGATGGCTATCTCATTGCTAGTGTGCATCTCTTCTGAACTGAGGTACTGCCTGGGGCTTAAGAATGACTTGGGAATCTAAAAGAGAGAGAGAGAGGAATAAGAATTTTAAGTATATGTATATGTACATGTACATGTATATGCATGAGAAAAAAATTATAAAATAGAGAATTTTTTCCTAGTCATTTTTGGCGAAATTTGGCCAATGACCCTGTACTATAGTACAGGGACTTTGGCCCAATTTTGGAGCAACTTTAAAAATTCGTAAAAAATCCAAACTTCATCGGAATCAGCTCAAACTTGCTACACAACATAAGAACATGTATATGCATCAGGAAATGTAATAAAAATGAAGAATTCTCTCCTAGTCATTTTTGGTGAATATTGGCCGATGACCCTGTACTATAGTACAGGGACTTTGGCCTGATTTTGGAGCAACTTTAAAAATTCGTAAAAAATCCAAACTTGATCGGAATCAGCTCAAAATTTCTAGGCTACATAAGAACATGTATATGTATCAGAAAATGTAATAAAAATGGAGAATTCTCTCCTAGTCATTTTTGGCACAATTTGGCCGATGACCCTGTACTATAGTACAGGGACTTTGGCCCGGTATTAATGCTACTCACGGTGAGTGTGACTCTAA